GATTAAGAAAGCTAAATATTTATTTTACTAAAATAGAATATGGTTTTATTTTATGGTTTTATGCAAAATTGATATATGCGAGAAATACATATATTTTTTAATCAAAAAAGACACAGTCTGCTCAAAATTTCTTTTTGAAACCACCATTTCTTCTGATTATGTGTTCCAGAACACCATCGACGACCGGACCTTTCTTTGTAGGCTACTAGGTCATCTGGCTAAAATATTCCTTTAAAAACACACAAAAAAATCCAATTAAAACATTAAAAAGTAAAGAATTGGAACTGGCGGTCTTACAGACGTCTTAAACTTGCATCCTTTCCAGTTAGGGAATTTCAGTCCTTTATATCCACTTGATAAATGCGCTGTTAAATGTAGATTTGGTCTTATCCCTCTGGTGACGAATTATTTCAAAAAAAGTTTTGCTTGTAAAGTTTTTTTTTGTGTGTTTTTAAAAGAATATTTTAGCCAGATGACCTAGTAGCCTACAAAGAAAGGTCCAGTCGTCGATGGTGTTCTGGAACACATAATCAGAAGAAATGGTGGTTTCAAAAAGAAATTTTGAGCAGACTGTGTCTTTTTTGATTAAAAAATAAATTATCATCCGGCAAAAGTTTACAAATACATATATATCGATTTTATGCAAAATTGATATATATATGTATTTCTCGGCAACAAAAAAGGTGTTTTGTTGCCGAGAAATACATATAATTGAAAAAACAAACATTTTCAGCTAATTAACAGGCCATCTTCAGGTCGAAAACTAAATTGGAACGAATATGTTCCATGAATAGAATATAAAAAAAATTTTAATCAAAAAGTTTTTACAAGAGAATAACAATAGAAGAACATATAAAAATAAATAAAATTAAGATAAAAAAAATAACATAAATCTTCAAATATAACTAACTCTGGTCCGAGTTCCTAGTAAATTTCTTAACCATGAACTTCCACGCTGACGGCAGGCTTTCGGCATCTCTCGCATTTAAACAGCCTTCTCTTAGCCTACTTCTATATATTTCAATCTTCTTCGCCATCATTGCTAAAGTTGGGGAAGACAGAAGTTTGATAATGGTTGCCTCGTCCCACTTCACCACAGAGCCTTGGGCCTCTGCCATTTGGGACAAAATCGTTGCAATAGACCTTTTTATCGACGTCACCACCAGGAACTTGGGCATAAGGCTCAAGGAGCATAGATATACCATAAAAAAGGGTCTATTGCCCAAGGCTCTGTGGTGAAGTGGGACGAGGCAACCATTATCAAACCTCTGTCTTCCCCAACTTTAGCAATGATGGCGGAGAAGATTGAAATATATAGAAGTAGGCTGGGAGAAGGCTGTTTAAATGCGAGAGATGCCGAAAGTCTGCCGTCAGCGTGGAAGTTCATGGTTAAGAAATTTACTAGGAACTCGGACCAGAGTTAGTTATATTTGAAGATTTATGTTATTTT